CAAAAAAAAAAAAAACTTTATTTTATACTCCGAAGACCATTTGTGGCTTCGGGGCGATGAAGTAGTCTGATATCCGCAGTTGCTTCCGTGGAAGCTTCAGCTTGACAAGCGCAGTTCGCATAGCTTCAAGCTGTTGCGAATACTCTGGTGGCATTCCTCGAGCACACATGAAGTCAACTAGGCCGTCAATTAACAGCAGTGCACTTTGTGCAGTCATCGACGGGGCCGAAGAAGCGCTGTGACTGTTGACCTCGTCGTCACTACTGTCACTGCTGCCGTCGCACAAAGCCAGCTTCCGTCGCGACATCACGTCCGCCACGACTGCCTCGTCGGTGAGTTCCTCGCAGCACGAGGCAGCACTGTCTGCTGTGAGGAAGTCCTCAACCGACGTGACACATTCGCTATTGGTGTCACCAGTAGCGATGTGCTACTGGTCAAGCTACACAGCCTTAAGCTTCGTAGGTGCCATCTTAGCTGAAGCTTAGCTCCGCCCGTGCTGCTCGCGCGATGCGATTGCTGAGAAAGAGAAGGAGAGACTCCAGTTGACGCGGGCGGGACTCTGCACGCAGCTTTGCTTTTCACATTTTTTCTCTCTCTCTCTCTTCTTTATCGCGGGCACGGTGTTTGTCGCAAGGATCCGCAGCGAAGCTTTGCTTTTCGCATTTTTTTTTCTATTTCCGCGTTCTTTGCCGCACTCAGTGCGCCGCGGCAACTCGCCATGTTCTCTCCAACTTTCGAAATGTGTGGCACGCGCCGTCAGCGCTGTTATGACGGTAAATACGAACTTGCCTATGCTAACTTTTTGTCTGGTTGCGTTCGTTTCAGTGTAACTTATCGATGTGAATGTTACGATTAATCTCGAACTTGCCATCCAAACAGCAAAATTTCCATTGTTGTATCTGATTTCCATTGTTATATCCATTTTTTCCCCCATAGCCCCACTGCAAAAAATGAGACTGTTAAGTCAACCCATCATTATAACCAATATATCGTTACATGTGGTATCTTTATAAGTGGACTGCATTGTAGCAGGCAATCACAGTGACCTTCTGGATTTGACGACGCTTATTGCTGAAGTTTGTGAGGAGCACTTCTGTCTGTCCATCAATAAGCAGCAGCACGCCTCTCGCGATGGAAATGCCTTGCGTAAGCAAAAGCGCAACTATGTGCTCTGCTATCACATCCTTATAGCAAGGCCACCCACAGGATACCGACACAAGACAACAAGATCTCGGTGGGAGCATCACATTGTCAGCTATTCGCAAACGGCCGTGTGATTCGTCACTGCTGTTGTCGACATATGGATGTGCACAAAATGTCACCATACATTGAGAGATGTTGATAACAGCACCATGATCTTGAAGAAAATCCATGCCCAAAATTAGCTCTCTACAGCAGTCTGGCAACAGGACAAAAGTGGCGATGAAGCTGGAATTCCCCATATGAAGGCGAGCGGTGCATTTACCCGTGGTAGTCATCAGCTGACCACCAATGCTCCTTATGTGTTGCCCTGCCACAATGTCTTGACCTTTCGAAGGTGGTCGGTGAGCTCTTGTCGCATGATCAACAAGTCGGCAACAGTGTCCACCAGTGCTGTGACGTGATGTCCGTCTATGGGAACGCTAATATCGGCACGTACAAGTTCATTGGCATTTGTACTTGCCATCGTATTCATCGTTGTTGTCATGTCTCCTTCCAGAGGTAGGGGGAACTTTTCGGTGTCTCAACAATCGGCAACCTTGCCCCCGGAGGTCACAGCAGTTAGTTTCCTTGGTCGGAGAAAATCCGGGACTATTTTGTACCACAGCACGGGTCGCAAGTAAGCCGCCATATTAATAAACTACTTTTCTTATAATTCATTATATTCCTTTGTGTCAAATCTTATACCGTGCCTATATAGAAGTATACCACATATCGAACTAATAAACGTTTTTGGCGAGTTCGATATACCTGGGTTCGACTGTATACCTTTCTGTTAGCAGACGCGGTAGTGCTCGAAAGGACAGTGCAACTGTCCTTACTTACTCAGCGCATGGGTGGTGCAAGCTTTGCCGTATATAGGGTACTAGAGTACACAATATGTGCATAGAGCTATCACAGTGACTGTCATGCAGTAAAAGCAACAACTCTTGTTGACGCTGTCGACACGGGACGGCGCGATGTCGCCGACGGCCAATCTTAGCATCTGGTGAGGCCTTTAAGGCCTTGATAAGGTGTCAGAAGGCACACAGTTGATACATTCGAACAGCTGTGGTCTCTTGTTGACGCTGTCGACATGGGACGGCGCGATGTCGCCGACAGCCAATCTTAGCATCTGGTGAGGCCTCTAAGGCCTTGATAAGGTGTCAGAAGGCACACAGTTGATACATTCGAACAGCTGTGGTTGTTTTCTGAAGTGGTCAGACACACCAATCATATTTCGGAAGTACGCCTTGTGGACGTATCTCACATATAAACTATATAGCTGAAAAAGTGAGCTAGCGTATGAATGAACTAGCCTGCCACTATATGCAAATACTTAGCGAGAGCTCTACTCACGGATATAAACCTTCACAGGAAATAGCAAATAAACTATCACGCGAGATGACAAGTGATGCATGCGCCCCATGACTTCAAGGCATGCACGTTTTGCACAGCTGCCCTCGCATCGCGAGTTCCCTGGCTGATTAGTCAAGGTAAAAGAGCCACAGGAAGCAATTGGCTCTGAAATATACGAGCACACAACCAAAACTGATGGAGAGTACCAACCTTAATGTGACTTGCTACACTCCACTTCTGTTTATTCAAAACAGCAACGTGAAAGCTCTGAAGTTTCGCAATCACAATTTACAGCATTTTTCCGTGTACATTCTAAGTGCACAAACCAGTACCGCGAGCTCAAACCAGTCGTCTCAAAATGACAAGCAGAACGCATAAGCACGTATTGTTGACAAAAAAAAAAAAAAGCCCCCACAGAAGTGTGAATGAAACCTGAGTGAGAGATTGCGACGTCCTGCACAATTAACTGTGACTTGTCTACGGCTTTAGAGCAGGCATTGAATTGAGCGAACATTGAACCATATGGAAGAAATTTATGTAGCGCGAGGCGAAAAAACGAACACAGGAAAGAATAGACTGAGAAGACAGAGCGCTACTAGCAACATGTTTATTTTCGACCTCCAAGCCGCTTTTAAGCCATAATCGTCAGGCGAGCAAGCAGATAAGCAAGTGTAATTCAGATACATGCGCGACAATGCAATCTACCTACAAGAAAAAACGATAAATAGGAAAACAAAAAAACCTCACAGATAAAATCACGTATCACTGCATATGCAGGAACGCCAGTTCCTTGGGTGACAAGGCAATTGAAGGCTTGCTAATACATACATCTCCAAGAGCATCAATAAGTTCGGCTTCTATGATCAACCGAGTCATCTCATCCTTATGCCGACCAACAATGATTGTACCCTGGAACAAAGGCCGGCAGCCACACGCGTTAATGTGTGCACAAAGTATCAATAGCATCATTAGCTTTTTCCAAGAAGCATGAACGCGAAAAAAGCAGTTTTTTCGCGTTCATGCTTCTTGGAAAAAGCTAATGATGCTATTTCTAAGGTGTTTTTAAAATTATCACTTTTAAAAATTTTACAGACTTTTTAAAATTATCACCGAATCCACGCTTCAGGCACAAACACAATATGTTTATTGAAGCTCCACCAATGCGAGTCGACTACTTGAAGTATAGCTATCTTCCTCGAGTAATTAAAGAATGGAACATGCTGCCTCATTCGCTGGTTTCCTCTCCTTCCCTTACTGCATTCTTAAACGAGCTCCATACACTTGCCTCTTCAGGTCATTCAGCGTTCTTGAACACTAATCACTAATGCCACACTGTGTACAAGCCAAGTGCATTTCTGATTTTCTTTTTGTCTTCTTTTCTGTTTTTAGATTATCTCTGTAGCAAGTAGCACCCTTCATCCTATTCACGTGAAAACGACTCCTTGTAGGGTCAACAGTATTAATAAACAAACAAAGGTGACGCTAGACGAAATAGCGTTCATTGGACATTTGATTTATAGAGGGATTATTCACATTACAGGCATCCGTCTATATCAAAAGACCTGGAGGTTCTTATTACAAAAAAAAAACCACTGAGAAAAGTTTAGGAGGTCACTTGTGTCTCACGAAAAACCAAGCAATGTTTCACCACAAGGCACGAGCAACGAAGCATCACTTCGGTTTTAATTTTCTTTGTCTATTTGAATAGAAACATTTTGTACAACATTTATTACTTTTTATACTCTTCATAGGTCATATATCTTCATAATGTATATTGTGAATTTTTTTTAATATTTTTGCATATATAGTGTCTTTTATTGTACTATTTGCAAGCTGGCAACCAAAAATCACACACTTTTCATATTTTTGTTCATTCCAAAACACTTATTTTTTGGAAAGAGCATTTCATTGTGCAAAATCTGGTATGGTGCAATGCATGCTTTACTTTTTTTCAAACTGGTAAAAATGATCTTCCCAAGACATATGGAAAATTACTATTTTCGTGCGGTAACGAAACAATTTAATAGCACAGGTGAACTTGCCTCACGTGATAAGGTTCTAGCATTAAGCAACGGCAAGTTCAGGCAAAAGTTATAGCACAAGAACAGAACGACGACATAGAGGCAAGAAGGACACGAAGGACACGAGCGTTATCATTAGCGCTCCTGTCCTTTTTGTCTTTGTGTCATCGTTCTGTTCTCGCGCTATAACTATCGTCATGTCATACCAACTAGCCCAAGCTTCCACACTTTTTAATGGCAAGTTCAGGTTCCAATAGTGGCCTGTCTGAACCCAAAGATTCTTAGCACCCCTTGCTGCATCGCAGATTTGACCACCGCTGTGTTGCTTCGCAGCCGCTAGGGACTGACGGCCGAGGGTTAATTGGCTTAACCATGCGTGTGGGTTGCCCTTATCAAGAGCTTATAAATGTGAAACAGGTGAGCACAAGATGAAATGCGTACTTCTCTCCCTTTTCTTTCTCTTCTTCATCCAGGTATGAGTATTCACGCCATGAATCAAAGCTGTACCTGCGAGTCAAGAACATAAACGTAGGAAGGAGTACAGTGACAAATGGATGCTCAGAGGGAATCACATGTCGCGACTAAAAAGAAAAAGCAGGATTCTGTAGGCATTCAATTCAACATGCCCCTTTATAAAATAAAACAACACTTTTTAGAGCTTTAAACTTACCTGATTTGATCTTTAGACATTGCCCCAAAATGGAAAGAACAACATATTGCAGCTCATTTGTACATGCTAAGAAGCCACTTTTAAATATTGATATCTACTTAAATTAAAGCTAGCGAAGTTTTTACTGTATTTACTTAGAAATAAAATACCATATTTACTTGTACGGTATTTTTCCAGCAAAAGATCTCAGCAAAGTTGGGCGTGCGTTTATTATACAGGGCAAATTTTACGAAAACTTCTTTGGGATGAGCGAAAAAATGCGGTAAGGCAAAAAAAAAATTTGGTCACTCAGTTTTGCACAATTTACACATGCGTACACTGTTTGAAAATAGCTTCTTTGCTGCCCTTCACACGTCTTCCGTAGTTGATGGTGCTATCTTCTGCAAGCTGTCCCCACACCACTTGCGCACGTCATAAAAGCGTCTCACGGCTATCTTTTCTAGCAATCATTTGACCGCAACAGTGGTATCTACTGTGACCTCTAAGGACGCCCAGAAGTGTGTGCTACGACAAACTTCGCCAACCTCGCACAATGACCGCGCTGCCGCCGTTGACATTAGTAGCAAGTGACCAACATTGCAGCAAGCTATAGAAGCATCAAAACGAATGGTCCTTAACAAGATTAATGACAAAATACGGTCGCCACCCCACAATCCACATGAGAAATTACTGTAGAAAAGGTAGCTTATATCTTGCGTTCCTTGAAGTATACGCGAATAACAAGCATGCAGAGCAAATTGCAACCGATGCCAGAATTCAGAGTGCTACCATGTTGCGAAAATCGTCTTGATCTTATCTGGGCCACAAGCGATTTTTTTCAGGTTTTCCAAAAACCTGAGACACGATGGTGACGAATGGCCCTTAACGACGGCCATAGCAACAGCCAATCCTGTCGACGTCACTCAAAAGTTGCGTGCAAGTGGTTGAACCATAAAGTTTCATATTTGCAGCAAGCGACCGTCGGTTGGTGAGGGCAGTTTCATGACCTTAGCTTGCTGTGTGCTTGTCACTAGCGATGTCGACACATCGTTTGTGAACCCCGCTGTGGTGCATAGATAATTAAAAAAGACTGAGGACATGCCGCGCACTGACAAAAAAAAACTGTGAACCATTTCCCCGACGAGTACTCTGAGTGGATGCGAAGCAACAGCGGTGTGCATGACGTTGACCCGGTTAAAGCTGGCGTCGACGCGGGTGCTGGAAGAACGGTTTAAAGCGAAACTGGGTGCAGATTTTACTCTAGTAAACGCTTATCATGTTCGCTGTAAGTGCGATTTTGTGCCATTGAACTAATGTATATTTTCGTGATCACTCGGTTGTCATGCTTCAGGTATTTTGCATAGAACAAATAATATTACAGTAAAATGTCGTTATTTGAACTCAATTAAGCGAAACTTCGTTTTAAGTGGGGGCGTTATATGCGGGCTCCACTGTATGCGTCAATGACCAGGTGAACACCGATAATGATACATTTATTATTTATGCAGATAATACCAGTTTATTTTTTAAGCGAAATCTTTTCAATAAACTTGAAAACAAAGAAAATGGTGTCTGAAATGCTGAACATTTGTAGCAAAACAAATTCACTAACTATGAACGCATCAAAAACAAAATCTGTCCTTTCTCGCCAAATAAACAAGCCCGTTAACTGCAATTTTACCTTAAAAATTGGCTCTGAATCCATCAATATTGAGCCTCAGGTGAAAACACTAGGATTAATTTCCCATAAAAACATGCTATGGAACGAACAAGCTGACCTTATCCACACTAAACAATCTCATACTGCAGGTGTTTTATCACGCTTTCATTTCCTTTGCCACAAAAAATTAACTCTTACAATAGAGGTCTCTATTTTTATCTACATAAGCTACTGCTTTTTAGTACGGGGCACCACAAGGAAAACAAACTTAGGCCGAACATGTAGATTACAGAAAAAAGCTGTGTGCATAATTGCAGGTGTTCCACGCAATGAGCATACCAGACCAATTTTCGAAGCCCTTCATTTACAATGAATACCCGACATGTACAATTAAGTTTTAATGAAGCGGTATCGTACTTATCAAAAAAAGTATGATTTCTTTTTCGCTGAATTAAGGCATTTGAAACCCTACACCTGCCCCTATAGCACATGAGTCATTGGAGAGTGGGAGATCCCTTACACACGAACTAACCATGGTTGACAAATGTAGTGCTGCTTACTGCCGGTAACATTAAATAGTTGCCTGCAATAAAACATTCCTACTGTTACTTTCGTACGTAATGTTTGTTTTTATATTGTGTAGTAACTGTTGCTGTTGCTATGCTGTCTAATGCTGCGAAACCTCTGTCAAGCCTAACCCCCGTATTCATAAAAGCTACTTGACTTGAATATGACTTACTGCCGCCTTCAATGCAGCACAAACGCATTTGGCATGGGCTGCTGTAGGTGCTGCTAAGGCGGCACAAATGCACAGACGCCTGTCAAACGCACTGAATTGAAGGTAGTGGCAAGTCCAGTTTGAGCCAAGGAGCGTTTATGAATATGAGGGTTAATGGCTTTTTGTTTTCACTTCACAGTACTACTACTGTGACTTTTGAATTGTTTCGTTTAATGTTGAAATGAAATTTGAATTTGAAAAAAATTTCTATGTGGCGGCAGTAAGTTGCCCTCATTTCCATGAGCAATACACACTTGTGGTCCCGCGCACAAGGGCGCGGCAGTGAACAGCGTGGTCGGCACGCTTACATGAACTGTAACAGCGCTAAACCGCTAATCCACACATACTGCAGTGCATGCAGTACATGATTTAGATTGATTGAGATGGTTATCGTTGGTAGGCTTCTCGCGCTGACAAGCCGCCACATTCGTCGGTAGGCATGATCACGCTTCCGTGAATTTCCATGCAGGCATCACTGCACTTGCACCGAAGTCATAGTAATCACTGCATGATCCACTGAGGCCTTATCTCGAATGCGCAAAATTGTAAGTTCTTCAAAGTGATATATGCAAACAAATATTCCCGAATATGAAATATTTGAGGAATATTCAATTTCGTATGTCGATGCTGCATCAGTGATGCCACCAAGGTCTTCCGATTTGGAGCAATCTTCGGAGCAGCAAAATTTTCATTTTGGAGCACCTTGGAGGAGTAAAATTTTCTATTTTGGAGCAATCTGGAGGAGCAATATTTTCCATTTCGAAGCAATCTGGAGCAGCAAAATTTTCTATTTGGAGCAATATAGAGCAGCTAATTTCAAATCCTGGAGGAGAAGCAAGGTACATTTACATTCAAGGACATAAAAAATGATGTTTAGGCTCTTGTGATGAGCTAGAAATATTTAGATTAATTGCGAATTTCATGGAGCAAGTCATCTTAGAAGCACTCCCTATTTCAGTTGATGGTGCAAAAATAATAGCCTCATGCTGTTAAGCATTCTGGAAAAACTAGATCAGTGATTATTTCAGTAGCAAATAAACAGAACACTGAATGAATAAAATTGTACTTCATGAAATAACAATATAAATACAGCTTTGTGGCTATCAACAGATGTGTTAGGCAAACGCTGTGACGTAAAACACTAGAGACTCACAGAGTCCCAAGCATATTTCCCTAAAATGACCTCAAAAATAAAAAAAGATTCTTTTTCTTCACGACTGATTAGACTGCTGTGCGTAATATGACGTCATTCAGCTAGTCTCAGAAAGCCAACTTCCTCCGACACTCATCTCTGTGCTGAAACTACACAAAAACTTCATTTTCCTTGTGCAGCAATATCTAATGTGGCAAGGGCGTTCTGTCTATACTCCAAAAAACCTCCCTACCATGTCCTCTAGAAAGCAGTGCATAAAAAAAAAATTAACAGGGATGGTAGTTGCATACACCTAAGACAACTCGAGGGCAAGATTCATTTTGTTTTTAATAAGATAGCAATTATATGGACATTCTTGACTGGTTTTTGCTGTTGCCAGGGGTGTTGCCAAAAATTTTAAAAATTTGAGAGGTGTGAATTGCACCTTGATCTGAAGGGGGGGGGGGGGGGGGGCAGGCAAAAGGTTATTTTGCGCTATATATGCCATGGTGAAAACAACTTCAAAGGTGAACGGGGGTGAAGAAACGCGAGAGGGAGGGGCATTGTTACGAACTTTGACTTTAAGGGTGTGATCGCTGGCGCACGAGCCTTTTACGGCTGGTATACCCTTCTACGTTGTACTATCAACGTGAACAGACTGTGCAACAAGTGCTTCGCTTTCTAGAGCGGCACTGAGCCTTGATAGAATCGCGGCCACGCCATCGTAGCGCCATTTCGGAGATCCATTCGTACGAGCCGTTCGTGTTGTACAGATAGAGTCAAACTGGTCTACAGCAGCGGAGCGCATGCCTGTCAACACTGGTAGTAGCCGCGGCTTCTATCTCACGTTAGCTACAAGCTTCCGTTGATGCTTACATTACAGCACAAGAGCCTAACACGCAGTATGACCATGTTTGGTAGCATTATGACGTCTCTCTTTACATATTTCTGAAGAAAATGCCAGCTGTAGCAGCCGGCTGGGTCGGCTGCTACAGCTGGCATCGAACACCGCCCGAGCAGCAAGTTCTTGTGAGTGCATGAATCTAGGCAATTGCCACTCTGCCGCTAACGCTTGTGACGGATGACGTCAAGCCTTATTATTTGGTATAACAATACAACTTAATGGTATTGCGTTCATTGCTAAAAGCATATGTGAAAATAACCAATTGTATCTTTTAGATCCGATATTGCTGATATCGCATAACTCAAAAGAACGCTAGCTATAGCGACAATGATCACTCTAGTTGCCGAAGCTTTCGTGCGGTCAGTTATCTAAACGTGAAGCAGA